TCCAGAGTCTTATCTGTTTGCAGTGTGCAGCCAAGAGATGCTAACAGTGACAGCTCTGAGAACCACAGCCACATGCATGGCGGACCCCACGAACACAGACAACCACAGGCACGCAGGACCCTGCGTGTTCATATGCACATGGCACATGGCAGACACAAAATGGGGCCTTAGGTTGCACAGTACCCTGTTCCCTCCCACCCTTATTTGTCCTTTCCTCACCCGCCCCCCCCCCCCGCCCTGTTTCCTCCCTTTCTTCTCTTCTTCCTGTCTCTATTTCTTGTCCAACGTGCCCGCACCATGGGTGCTTCCGGGAAAGGGGTGTTCTGTGTCATGGCTCTGCTGTTGAGATTCGGACATCTTTAACACACTGGATTCATTCGTAGGCTTGAGGAAATAAATTACTTTCATTAACTAGTTAATTAAATTTTAGACAGTATCCTACTATGTAGCCCTGGCTAGCTTGAACCTTCCTGTGTAGCTTGGGTTGACCTAGTTTTATTATTTTTGTTTATTTATTTTTTATTTATTTATTTATTTTTTTGCACTGTGGTTTGAACCTAGGGCCTCACGATTAATGGACAGTGAGGTATATCCACAACTTTACTTTTAAGATGAATTGTAAAATTGTGCTTTACGGCAATATCTTAGTAGACAGGAGCCGCCCTCAAAGATGTCAGACCTTAATTTATAAATGGAATTTGTAAATGTTGCTGCCTGAGTCCCTTTTCCTGCTGCTCTGATAAAATACCGTGACACAAGCTCCGTAAGGGACAAAGGGCTCATTTTAGCAACAGCTCAGAGTGGGGAAGCCAAGGCTGAGGGCTTGAAGCAGCTGCGCCCACAGTCAAGAGAGCAGCGAACACTGCCCAGCCCCCTCCCCCCATCCCTGGGCTAGCCAGGCGCTGATTCTGAAATTCTTACCAACAAGGGACAGAGGAGTATCAGAGCAGTGTGGTCTGGGAAAAACGCAGTACCCTTACACTACCATTTCACTTCTGAGGACCCGGGTATTTCTAGTAAGACCCCTGTAACGATGCAGGTAAACTGCCTAGAACCTTTGGGAGCTCAGTCTTGTGGCAAATGGCAGCATCTTACAAACATACTCGATCCCGTGTGATCATTCAACAAGCTCACCTCCCCCCCATCTCTGTTGGACTGATTGTCCAATCAGAGCCAAGCAGGAGACCACCCATGCCATGTGACTGAAACTCTTCCACCTTCTTGGGGACATATTGAGGGAGCCGCTACCCCCAGTCACTGCCTCTGTGCCACACCCTGCATTCCTGGGAAGAGGGTGAGTGCATAATCAGCTGTCCTCCCCTAGCTTCTCCAGCCTGCGGTGGTGGCCCACGCCCCCGAGCTCCATGTCTAGATAAAAAAAAGAAGGCCTGATTTTAGTTTGAACTTTATACAGCATTTGGAACTCGGGCTGTATCAGTCATAAGGTAGGCATTGCAATGTCATCTCTGGCAGGCAGGCGTCTATGTCCTTCGCAAAATGGTGAGTGACTGAATCTCTTAAAAGGACGTGCCAACTCACAGAACATTGGAGAGTTGGCACGGGAGAGGAAGAGCCTCCTAGGACAGCTGTAACAGCTGCTGTGGGCTGACTCACAGTTGCATGTTACTGCAGGCCCATATGAACAAGAATCCTGATGCAAGGGAGAGCTTCGGCCACCTGTACGACAAGGTTAAGGTGGTCCTGAGTAAGTCTTTGTAAGCCTCTGGCTGGTGCCGTCCGGCTCTGACCCTCAGGTCTCCTACCACTGCAGTCCACAGAGCGGAGCGAAGTTTGTGAATGTCACATCTGCAGAAACAGTTCAAGGCAGGTATTAAAGGACTGGATGCAAACTCCCGTTGTTGTGTTTGTGCGTAAATCTTGATCTACGCACACACTTGGTCCAGAACTATTCTTGTGTGGCCACTGTTCTGAATCCAGGACTCTCTTCGTCCCTAACTATATTTCGGACATACTGTTAGTGCTCACAAGTGTGTGTTAATAAGGCATGGAGGTCCTTGGCCATGGACCACATAGGTAAGTATGGACACATCTGCTGTTCCCGTTTGTGTGCAACGATCATATCTGATAACTATCTCAGAACTATTCTTAAAAGCACATGGCGAAACAAACTGCTGTCATACTGAGCCTTTGAAATCCTGCTAGCTCTAGGCAATCTTATTTAGACTTCTTTTTTTTTTTTTTTTTTTTTTTTTTTTTTTTTTGGTTTTGGTTTTGGTTTTTTGAGACAGGGTTTCTCTCTATTGTTTTGGAGCCTGTCCTGGAACTCGCTCTGTAGACCAGGCTGGCCTCGAACTCACAGAGATCCGCCTGCCTCTGCCTCCCGAATATTTAGACTTTTAATTTCATTCTTCCTATGACTTTTAATCACTAGAGGGGTTCTGTTAACATTTGCACAGGGTGTTTGTGGTGCACACCTTTAATCCCAGCACTCGGGAGACAGAGGCAGTCCGTTCTCTGTGAGTCCGAGGCCAGCCTGGTCTACAGAGTGAGTTTCAGAACTACACAGAGAAATCCTGCCTCAAAAACAAAGAACATTTGCATTTTTATAATTGACATTCTTTATTTGGAGTATTTTGTATTACCTATTACTTAGGCTTACTGCAACATGCTATTTCTTCCAAACAGCTGTTTGTTTCTTTTTGTTTGTTTGTTTGTTTTAATACGAGAGGGTTTCACTGAACCCAGGCTGACCTCAGACTCACTATGTAGCTGAGCACTACTTTGAACGCGGGCTCCTCCCACTTCTACCTCCCCAGTGCGGGGATTACAGACATGTTCTATCACACACATGTGGCTTGCGAATATTTTTCTTGAATTCTGACATGCAGCAGGGAAAAGAGTTGTACATGTCAGCCCCACAGATGATGCACATCTTCACATGTGAAAACGTCTCAGCGGGAGGAAGGTCCAGCTTGTGACAGAGGTTTGTGTGTAGGCGGCTTACTGGAAAGTGACAGCGGGGATCAGGAGTGGGCAGCGGGAAGACAAGCCCGCACAGGCCTGGTGACTCAGCTCTGTTGCCATGGCAACAGTGATTCAGTCCCACAGCCCTGCAGAGAAGCTGCTGGAACAGGCTGGGAACTGCATATTGGGGGGGGGGGGTGATATGATATGAAGGGGAGGGTGTCCATCTACTCATGTCCGCCTGTTTAGGGAGCTCTAAGGGGTGTTCCTTCTAGGTGGACTACAGATGGCCCCTGTGTGATGATTAAGGCTGGGACAGAACTGTTTGGAGCATCGGTACCTGGGGTAGTGGGGGGAACAGAGCCAAGTGGCCAGGAGAGGAGAGAATCTGTGTTCAACCGGGCAGTGCGTGTGACAGACACTCTCCTCCAGCCCCCATGACAGCGCGTGTGACAGATTGTGTGCTACTTTAGCACCCCCTCCCCCCATAACTGGCTCTCAAGGTTTATGGTCTGCAGAGTAAATGACAGTGGCCCACGCCATCAAACCCGATTTCAAAACAATAGTAAGGTGTTACTAGTTTTTGTCATGCTCATTCTGAGCATGTAGTGTTTTCCGGATTTGTGTGTTAATGGAGGCCGATAGAAGGAGCAGGTATGAGACCCAGCTTCTTTCATAACCCAGGCATCCAAGGCATTTGCAAAAATTTTGTGCTGGAAAATGCAGGCATTTTTCATGAAAGTACGTGTGTGTGTTTGTGTCTGTGTGTGTGAGAGTGAGGCCAGACACTATTATTTAATTTTGGTTTTTGAGACAGGGTTTCTCATGTAACAAGACATTATTATGTGGTAAAATTACCTTAACAACCAAAAAGAGATTGGCTTGTTATTCTTTGGTATGTGTGTGAGTGCCCAGGCCAGTGCACGCGTGTGAGTCAGTAGGTTTGCTGGTAATTACCTTCACCTCACTGACCCTGATTTATCATTTACAACAGCATTATATAAATCTCACAAAAGTTCTTTGGAGGCTCCACTTCCCACAATCTATTAGAGAGGTCCTGAGATTATTGAAGGTGGAGAGAGGCTTCATTAACTTTATGGTAATCCTCAAAAGAAATATAGCCCATAATGTGAAACCCCTGGTCCTGGACAGTGGCTTATGAGGTAGAGACAGAACGGAGAGCCGATTTAGAGGCTGAAGGGCTGGGGAGTACTATGCTTCACTGTAATTCATTTCAAACACTGCAGGCCCGTCACTGGTCCTTGGAAAGGTCAGGAGGGTACTGTGAACACCAGTGAGCTCAGATCACTTCCTGGTTTCTCAGGGCAGCAGCCAGTGTTGCTGGACCAGGGGCTCAGCCAAGGCCGAGCAGCTAGGACAGCTATTTTTAACCCTGGCTGCATGTGAGGAGACCGGGAAGATACTGTCCTTGGGTGCTTGGCTGTGCCGTGTTATGATGCACAGAAGACGCCCTTTATTCATTATTCTATACTTAGAGAGGGTTCCCTCAATAACCCAAAGCCTCTCCGTGTACGTTCTAGAACACTATACGACCTCAATGCTCTACACAGCAGTCACTCAGATCTGTCAATCAACCTCTAAAAGCTCTTTGACAGAGAGTCTTATTCACCCATTCTTAAAAAGTTCCTGGAAACATTAAAGAATATATGTTAGGCAGGGACGCATGGCTTAATGAGTAGAGTATATAGATTGTGTAAGCATGAGGACCAACCGGAGTTCAGCTTTCCAGCACCCACATAAAGGTAAGTGCCAAGATGGGAAACACTTCCTACAGCCCTGGAAGCTTGTGGGCTAGCCTGGCCTAAATGGTGAAGTTAGGCCAATGGGAAACCCTGTCTCAAAATAAAGGCATACTCAAAGATTATTACAGTATAATGTGGTATTTTATTTACTCTGTCAATTAAAAACACAATCGAAGGCTAGAGGGATGGCTCAGCCTTTAAAGGCTAGGCTCACAACCAAAAACACAACTGAACATCCTTACAGTATTAATTCAACTCAATCTATTAATCAACTTTCAGTTTTTTAAACTTGTCAATATTGAGTATTAAAAGAACAGTCGATGTAATTATGTTCAAAGTTATTTCGCCCCCAAACTTGTAAGTGTTTGGTGTTAGGGCGCTTACACACAGTTCAATTTTGGGTGTGCAGCTCCCGAGCTTCGAGGAAGAACATTTTGTTCACTTCACTAATGGGGACGTCTCTTAACGCCGGGATGGCATCTTCCTGGTAGCTTTTCCACTGCTGATTTTTAGCATAGTTATCTGCAACAAAAAAAGCTCTGCTGAGCCAGGCATTTTCTTCCTGTAATTTCTGTGGTTAGTTAAGACCAATTGCACTGTTTACCTGGCTGATATGAGACAACCACAAACACCACAGGTTGGTAGTTACTTGTCGTAACAAAGTCCCTAACAAATGCAACTTCAGGGCTTACTCTGGGCTACAGTTACAGGGATACAGTTCAGTACAGAGGGTGAGGTATGCGGCAGGCAGCTGGTCACTGTGTTCAGGCAGGGGTAGATGCTTATATTCAGCTGTTTTTCTTGTTTTTATTCAGGGAACGGTACCCTCCACATGTAGGGTGTCTTCTTCCTCAACAAACCTCACAGAGGACTCAGATTGCTCAGACATTGGTTTCCTTGGGGATTCTAAGTCCCATCAAGCTGGCAATCAAGATTAACCACCGTGCCATGTCTAACTAACAAGATTACTTTGTCTCAGTGCGTTTCTGAAGCCCACTGACCACTTTTCTGACAAAAGTACTAATATCTCATTCTTGTATCCTTCATAATTCTACTTACATACACGCTTACCTGTGATCGTGTGAATGGAGTTGAGTGGAGAGGTACTCATCATGTTAATTCCAAATAAGAGCACATAACCAATCACAATGGCGATAAGGAGGTAGACAGGCAGTGCAACCGCCCAGTACCTGCAGGAGAGGACACCAGCAAGTCCTGATTCCCGAGAGGCAGTCACAAAACACACTTCTTCGTTTGTTTGAGACAGGGTTTCTCTGCGCAGCCCTGGCTGTCCTCAAACTCACAGAGATCCACCTGCCTCTGCCTCCCAAGTGCTGGGATTAAAGATGTGCACCACCACTGCCTTGTCTACAAATATTCTTGATAACACATGGCAAAAACAGACTCTTCTATTTCAAAGAGTACCCTAAAATTTTGTTAACCTCTTTTATCTGCTTATACTTTTAAAAGATTTCTCAGCAGCAGTTATCATTTTAACAAGATTTTCGGGAGGAAATGGAGATAAATGTGTTTGCACCACCATCTTTAATTAGTGGTATATTAATAACCTTTAGGAAACTTTCATTTTCCAGTGGGGGGGGGTATGGCTCGCTGGTTAAAGCCCATGCTGCTCCAGTGTGAGAACCAGAGTCTGGATCCCCAGAACCCAGGTGCATGCCGGGTGCATGTGTGGCTCACCTGTAATTCTAGCACTAGAAGGCAGACACAGGGGATTCTGGAGGAAGCTGGCTAGCAAGACTATACCGTTCCACTCTTTGTTCAAGTGAGAGACCTTGCCCCCACAAATAAGGTGGAGAAGGATGGAGAGAGACTCCTGACATCAACTTTGGACCACTACAGGCGCATGCAAATACAATCACCTGCAGGCACAAATGTGGCCAGAACACCCCTCATCCCATCATGCCCCCAACACAGAAATTTAAAAAAAAAAAATTTATCAACAAGTTACTTATGGAATGTAAAGCAATAATGATTTAAGGTGTGTTAGAAAGAACTATAATCCTTCAAAACAGTACAGTTTTACCCTTATTAAAGAAATTATTAAACTTACTTTTGAGGCCAATAAGTTAAGCCTAAAGAGTTTAACCAAGATTCAGGAACGAAAGCCCACACAAGATAAAGTACTGCAGGATAAAGAGGTAAGAGAAGAGAGAAAAGTCAGTAAGGCACAGATCCAATCTATACGGTTCAGGTGCAACAAGAGTGTCCCCTGAGGCAGAATTCAGCATCTTTAGCCCCTTATTTGTACCAATCTTGTAATACCATAATTACCACATTAATGCTTTTAGTGTCTTAGCCCCCACACTGTGTTTTAAACAGTCTAAGGACACTCTTAGCAACTGTTACTTTTACAATATCTAGCAAGTTGCTTCTGCATGCTGTACTCAGATGTATTTGCATTTAGTTGCTTAAAGGTGAACTTGTGCTGTCTGGTTCCGACTGTCCCTGGATGCGGTGTCCCTGAAGCCTCCTCCTCTGCTTTACTTCATTTAACCCTCAAAACAACCCTGAGATATGTGTGTAAATTTTATACATGGGAAGTGGTAAAGGCAAGTTTCAAACCACAGCAGTAATGATGAGTCCTTTCCCTTAAGAATACAGTGCTATAGAGCTGTGGGACGCAATGAATCTTAAGAGCTGGTTTCTGCTTCCTTTCCCCATCAGGTGCTGAACAAACACGGTTAAAGGGATCTCTTCCTCACACTGGGTATGCTGGACTCATTTTCAGACTCTCCAACTATGACGGAAACTCAATGGGAGCAGACAAGGCTTGGTTGTTTTGCTATTCCCTGGACTGTAACTCTGCCTGGTACATAGTAAATGCTCAATAAATCATTGAATTAATTTTTGGTTGTATCTATTGATTTAACAATTTGTTTGCATACTTCCTAATCCTTAAAATATTTATAAAAGTTTACAAAAATAAACAGCTAATGCTTATTAAATAGTTTCTTTGCATTTTTTTACATAAAACATCCGAGTTAGTGCATGAGTCCAAAATGGCGGTAGAATGACTTCCGCCTGTATGACTGTGTTCTAACTCCAGTCCTACTGTTTATCAGCTGTGTGGTTTCCAGCGAGTTACTTCACTACAGCATTCTCATCTTCCAGTTGAGGACAGCAGGACTGTACCCACTTCCTGTGTCTATGCAAATCGTCAACAATGGACATCACCAATGTCCCCTTACAGATGAGGACACTTCAGGCCAGGGTTAAGTTAACACTCGGTCAGGTCAAACAAGGTCTCCAGGTAAAACGTCTTCATTCCACTGACCGGGCTACAAGGGCGCTAGATAATAAGGATTCAGAAAACTGGACTGTAGGCATTTAGTGTTCTCCTATTTGGTTGGTCCTCTGTGTGAGGTTTTTTTCCCGGTAAGGCTCAAGTGTCCTCCTGTAAAAAATGGGACATTATTGGGGATCAAAGTAGACCCAGAATGTAAAGGGCTCGTTCATTTTTGTTTGTTTTTGGGTTTTCGAGACAGGGTTTCTCTGTGTGGCTTTGGAGCCTGTCCTGGAACTCCCTATGTAGACCAGGCTGGCCTCGAACTCACTGCGATCCGCCTGCCTCTGCCTCTGGGACTAAAGGCGTGCTGGGCCACCGGCAGAGGGCACTTTCGTATGCCTGCACCTCTAGCCATTCACTGTGAGCATGCTGCCCTGCACCTGTACTCCCGACTCCCACACCTTCACCGGCCTCGCTCAGGACTCTGCCGCGGTCCTTCCCAAGCTGCCTTCCCTGGCCCGCGGCGCTCTCAGGGCAGGAACCAGGCTGCTCCACTCGCTTCGGTGTGGAGCCTGCAGCTGCAGACTAAAACCTAGCATCGGGCGTGTCTGCACCCTGGGCCAACAGCGGTCCCTCCGGCTCCCGGGGACAGTCAGGGAGGGGAGCGAGCACCGCGAAGTGGGCTGGCCGTGCAGTGTACTTACTGAAGCCAAACTGAGAGCTCAGGAAAAGCACAAAGCCGTAGATGGCTCTTTCTGGCAAGGGCGACGGTGAATTTTCCACCATCTTCCCCGGGGCTTTGGGCAATCTGTGGAAGAGGGAGAGGGACACGGTCGTCGTCATCGGAACCCTCCCTCCTCCATCCCTCCCTCCTCCATCCCTCCTCCCTCCCTCCATCCCTCCCTCCTCCATCCCCTCCCTCCTCCCTGCACCAGGGTCCCGCGCACTATTACATAATCTCAGCGCCGCGCTGCGCCCGCCCGCCCGCCCGTCCCCCTGCGCGTGCGCGCACCGCGGCGGCTGGAGAGGGCGGGAGCGCGCGCCGCGGGGGAGACCGCGCCCCTCGGACCGGCAGCGGGAGGCGAGGACTGGGCCCGGGCCGGGGCTGAGCGTGCGGGGCTCGGGCGCGGCGGGCCGGGCAGCGATGGAGACCCCTGGCCCGGGCCCGCCCCTCCCTTCCTGTGCCCGCCCGCAGCCCCTCCGCAGGCAGGGCTTTGCGCAGGCGCCGCCCGGACTGCCGCAGTGGCGCCCGGAAAAAAAATAAATAAATAAATAAATAAATCCCGGAGGAGAAAGGGGCGGGGCGGGGGCGGGGCGGGGGCGGGACGGGCGGTTGGCGCAGGCGCACTGCGCGGGCGCTAGCGCAGTCTGCCCCGGCGGAGTGGGCGGCGCGGCGGCCGCGCATGCGCGCCCGCGGCCCACGTGACCCGCGCGCCCGGCCGCCCGCCCGCGGAGCGCACAGGCGCTGCTGGCTCCGGCGGGCTCGCTCGCTCCCACCGCGGCTGGCGCCGGTGGACGTGGAGGGCCGGAGGCGGCGGCGGCGGCCCGCGTCCGAGGCTCGCGGGCTGCGGGCCCGGGGTGAGTGCCGATCCCGCCGCAGCCGGGGTGCGGGGCCCCGGGGCGCTGCACGCCTCCGCGCGCTCGGGGGTGTGGCCGGCCCGGGTCGGCCCGGGCCGGTGCGCTGGGTGGGTGTGTCCCCCTTTGTCCCCCGGCCCCGCTCCGGGGTCCCTGTGTGCGCATCCGCGCGGCTGACAGCGCTGCCGGGCGCCCGGGGCCGCGCGTCTGCGTCGGCTTTGTCCCTGCGCCCGCCCGCCCGCCCGCCCGCCCGGAGGCCTGGGCGCCCTCACGACTGTGTGTGTGTCTGTGCGTGCGCGCGTGTGTGTGTGTCTGTGTGTGTGTCTGTGTGTGTGTGCGCGTGCCTGTGTTTGCGCGTGTGTGTGTCTGTGTGAGTGTGTGTGTCTGTGTTTGCGCGCGTGTGTGTGTGCGTGTGTGTGTGCCTGTGTGCATGTGCGTGTGTCTGTGTATGTGTGTGTCTGTCTGTGTGTGAGTGTGTCTGTGTGTGTCTGTGTGTGCGCGTGTGTCTGTGTGTGTGTCTGTGTGTGAGTGTGTCTGTGTGTGTATGCCTGTGTGTCTGTGTGTGAGTGCGTGTCTGTGTGTGTGTGTCTGTGTATGCCTGTGTGTCTGTGTGTGAGTGTGTCGTGTGTGTCTGTGTGTGAGTGTGTCGTGTGTGTCTGTGTGTGAGTGTGTCTGTGTGTGCGCGCGTGTGTCTGTGTGTGCCTGTTTGTGTGTGTGTGTGCGCGCCCCGCCCCCACCGATCCTCGTCGCGGCCCCTCCCTCCCCCGCAGCCCTCAGTGTCCCCAAAGCGCGCTCCACCGCGGTCCCTGGGGCGCGCGCGACCCCCTGGTGTGTGTGTGTGCGCACGCGCGCGCGTCCCCCTGCGTTGTCACCTCCCCCCACCCCCGGATTTTTGGGGGAGGGCGGGAAGGGACGCAGAGCCGCCCCCAGCTGCAGCCTGTGCGGAGCATCCTTTGCGCTCGCGGCGCCCGCCCGCTGCAGGGGCTGCGGCTCTGCGGTGGTGGTGACGTCACTGGAGCCTGTGCAAGCCACCACCCCTTGGCGGGCGAGGAGGGGGCCCAGACCAGGGGGACAAAGAGCCAAAATGATGCCGACTGTGGGCCGGTAGCAGCGCACGGTGCCTTTTCCAGAAGCTTCTATCGTCCAGACGTGGTCCAGTGTGCAAACCCATTCCCAAGTATGCGCGTTCGCCTCTCACCCGGAGAGCTTGCTAACTGCGTGGTTGTCGCAGGGCCGTTTTATGGCAGCCCTGTAAATCCCTGGGTTCTGGCGAGGGAAGCAGGGTGGGACGCGTGCTTACTGCCCTCTCCGGGGACGGGTTTCTCACGGCCGCTTTTGTAGTTAGAACACCCGTCTCAAGAAATTTGAATTTTGATCGAAGGAAAACGGGTTTGTTCTGAGGATGCCTGTGGGGAAGGAAAGGTAAAAACCCCCTTTGGGGAATCAGTTGCTGCTACCGTTCTTGTCAAGGGTTTGTGCTTTGCGCTTAAGGGCTGCGGTTTCTGTTTCTCTCCTGCTCAATTTTCTTAACTGTTGGCCTAATTTTCCTTGTAATTTTCTGGAATACTTAAAAGGTTAAACATAGGCAGATCTAATCAAAACATTTTATTCATTTATTTGCCAAATTCAAATCTTCCAAAGGGGAAAAAAAAAAAAAAAGCTTAACAAACGTTGGAGGTGCTGAAAGTTCTCCCTCCCCTCCTTACCTGGAGATAGCCACTGTGTTCAGGTTTGTGTGTGTCATTTCCAAGTCGGTAATGGCGAATGCGTAAACAACACATGGTATTGGTTTTTAAACTAAAGTGATAAAATTGTGTCTTTTTGCAACTTGCTTTTTCACTCAGCATCACATTTAGAGATTATATATTTGAATAAATGGAACAGTTGTACTTTCTTTGAATTACTATAATTGTTGGTGTAATGCTGTCTTGTATGAATATACCATGATTTATTTTTATAGTCTCCTCTTGATGGGTTTTGGAATTGTTTATACTCTCTACCCTTTAAAACCGTCCTGCAGTAACTATTTGTTCCTGTTTGTTATGTGCACTTTTGGAGTTTCTCTAGGAAGTGCTCCTAGCTGTAATTTGGTGGGTGGTAGAGTATCTTCCACTTAATCCGGTAAGATAGAAGCACTCAGGGTTACTGTGCCAGTTTTCACAGTCACTAATACTGAGAACACCCATTTCCTCTCATGCTTGCTAACTACCGTGTTTCCCTTCTTTTCACTGACCGTCTTCGTGACTTTAGCTTGCTGCTAAATTTGCTTACAGCTTGGCCTCTGTTTAGCCATGTGACAGCAAATGGGTTACTCTCTCACAGCTCATTGGTTTGTTCTTTATTGAATTTGGTCTTCATAATATTAATTGCAACAAGTATTTGTTATGTTTATCTAATGTTGCTATGGTTGATGTAAAGACAGAATTTCATGGTATGCTATATGTACCTCTCTAGTAGCAGGTGAACTGATTTAATTAAAAGCATTTTAAAGATACGATGTTTTTCTTTAAATCCTTTCCTCTCCTTGATGTAGTAGTTGGTATATTTAGAATACATGTAGTATTTACAAACTGTGAAGAAAACAAACATTTGCACATCTACCAGTGGATCCAAGAGTCAACCTAACCAATATCGAATGTGCTCACGTTTCAGAAGTCATTATGCTGAACTCATGTTATGCTTGTATTTTAATCACTTTAATCAGTTTTTTGTGTAAAATTTAACACTGAATTGTATGTACAGTTTCTATGTTTGAGTTAAAAAGACATTATGGGTGTAGTCTTCTACAACTTTCTTTCACTCAATGCTGTATTTCTAAGTTACTAATATCAGTACAGATGTAAGTCTTTAACTCTTTACTGCTTGTGTAATATTGGGTGAATACAGTACAGTCTATGCATTCTCCTGTTGTTAGGCATTTTGATTTTTCTGTTTTCCATAAGAAAAGCAAACAGCTTGGAAGAACCATGGTAGAGCTTCAAGTAGAAATGTAAGAATAATTTAAAATGCTATATACAATGCAGAAAAGCTTCTTTTTTAATCCCAGCACGTCCTCTGTCCACTTAATTCAGGAAGTCGGTATAATTTCCTTTTTTCTGTTAATTACCATGTTTATAATGACTTATTCAACTGTCTGGCAAACGTAGCTGTAATGATCTGGAACGCTTTGACAGCTGTTTTCTTCACGTGGGTGTCTATGCCATGGTACGGGTATAGAGGGCAGGCAGCTTGAAGTCCATTCCTTATACGCTGTGGACCTGGGCGGCTGAACTCTGGTTGCTAGGGGTGGTGGCCAGGGCCCCTACGCACTGAGTCGCCCTGCTGGCCCAGGTATACATGTTAAAGACTCACAGTTTGACTTGAGAACGTCTTTACAATGCTGTAGGAATTACCCTTTGCAGTCTCACTCAGTGCCGACCAGTTTTAGGCATCACTGCAACATGTGGGCAGCACGTGATTTTAAAAAGCGTTTTTGGTGCTTTGTGGACAAAAAACAGGTTGGAGTATGCAGCATCATAAGCCATTTGCTAGAGTGGAATTGCTGGTCTTTAAGGGTGTGAGTGTTCAACTTCACAGAACGATTTGGCTTTGGAGCAAGTGGTCGCACCAGCTCGTATCTTTCTTTGGTAATAGTTTTGTTGCCTTATATACTTGGATCAGCATTCTATGAGAGTTACAGTTAACCCGGAACCTCTCCAACACTTACCTTAGGTTTCCTGTATTTGCCAGTAGTTGGAGGTGGTGCATCATTGGAGTTTAAATTTGCATTTATTAATGACATTGGGAATCTTTCATATACTATGCACCAGGTATTCACCCGTGAGGAAAAGGTGGCACATTCATTCCATCTCCATGGCTCGTCTTTTCCATCCTGTATATTGCCTCCTCACTTGCCTGCTGAGTTTCTGAGTATCGATCTGTCTCTATTTCTTGTCATCTTATTTACTATTATTATTATTTATTATGTATACAGTGTTCTGTGCATGTCTGCCTGCAGGCCAGAAGAGGGCACCAGATCTCACTACAGATGGTTGTGAGCCACCATGTGGGTGCTGGGAATTGAACTCAGGACCTTAGGAAGAGCAGCTAGTGTTCTTAGCCACTGAGCCATCCCTCCAGCCCCTTGTCATCTAGTTTCTACCCGTGCTTATACCTGCACTCTCTGAGTTACTGTCACTGTAGCTTTGCCTGAAATCTGTTTTTGTTCTTTGGACCCAGGCTGGCCATGGACTGAGTGAGTGCTGAGGTCCAGGCATTCAGATCACAGCATTGCTAAGTTGTCCTGGGCCATTGAGTCAGGCACTGCCCCCTCATGCCCTGGAGATTCTGCAGACTCACCTTTGACCTGTAAGAATCCGTCAAGAGGAGCCCTCTGGGGCTTAATTGAAATCAGTCCAGTTGGTGTTGTGAAGAATTGAAATTGGTTGCTGTTGTAAATAATATCCCCCCTCTCCAAAGATGCCATTTGCTGATTGATTTTAACTATCTTCTTTGTGTTTTGTTTTTCATATTTTGGAAGTCCATTGGATTTTCTGTCATTTGCAGTGGTGATGTTTATTTTTTTTCCCTTTCTAATTACTTTCCTTTTCAGAGTGAGTGAGTGAGTGTGTGTGTGTGTGAGTGTGTGTGTGTGTGTGTGTGCGTGTGTGTGCGTGCGCACACACACAGGTGGTAAAGGGGGAATTATTAGAGGCTGTGGTCCAGGTAGGCCAACAGAGGCTGTCTCCCTGTGGCAGGGTCAAGACTGTGATAGTAGGACAGTGGGTGGTCCAGTCCAGCACTCACTCTCTGGCGGAGGAGTCGCAGGACCCCTAGAGAGCTGCTGGTGTTCAGTCTGCATTGAAGTTCTGAAGGTGTTCTAGTACCAGCAAAGGAATGTCTCAGCTAGAGTGAGGGCAAGCAGGCAGAAGCAAAGACCTCCATGTCCTTCTATGTGGGTTCCCATCAGGAAGGGTGGTCCAGATCCAGAGCGGGACTACTCACCTCAAATGATTCAATCAAGA